TTTTTTTTAATTCTCTGGTCGCCCGTTCCCGTTTTCAAAACGAGCGACCACCACGCATGCGTCGAGGCAGTACCGAGCCTCTACCAGGCCTGCCCACGTCCTCCATGAATTCATGAGGCGACAAAAGTTTGGCTGGGCAGGGTACTGGTGGTTTAAGGGGGGGGATTCGGTCTGCAGGGAGGAGGGCGGGGCGAGGTAATCAACATGTGATGGGAGTAGAGGACGGTGAGAAGAGGTGAGGAGGAGGAGGAGGAGGAGGTAATGATGTGAGGAGCGGAAGTGAATGGGTGAAGAGGATAAGGTGACAAGATGAGGAGGAGCAGTAAAATAAGAGGAAAGAGGGGGAACCGGACGAGGTAAGAAAGCGGAGGAGGAGGAGGAGGGGGCGGAGGAGGAGGAGGAGGAGGAGGAGGAAGAGGTAATTCAGGGTTCCGACTCCCGAGTATTCTCTGACCGTGAAATCTTAACCTGTCAGCATGATCCATAGGTTTTGCGGCTTTTGCCGTATAAAGTATAAAAATGAAATATTTTAATCCAGCCTCTGTACGGGTCTGTAGAGAATTCAGATTTTCGTTTTGTGTCTTCGATGACATAAGAACATAAGCTTCGAGGTTCGATGGCAACATACATGGCAATCAAATCATAAGGTGAGATCATGAAAAGCATATGTGAGGCTCAATGCCTCGATCTGCCCTACTGGGCCCTATTTTCTGTACAGTCGGCCGCCCTAAGTGAAGGCAGGCTCGACTCAGGGCCTACAGCCCTAATTTTGGGGTCACCGCGCAACTGGGTAAATTCAGGCAGTTGTGCAGTGCCAGTTGGTTGAGAGCGCCCAGGGCCAGGCTGCCTTTTTCGTATGTACCTGACGCAGGCCCTGGTCCAGATAAGCAACATGGACCAAACACAGGCTGAGGACAGTTGGACAAGGGCCGCCACCAGAGGCCCAGGGCCTGATTCGTTTGGACTGGGCCACAGCCTCTCTGAGCCTACCGGAAGCTTCTGGGCAGGGGCCCTGCCCACGCATTCCTCATTCCGGCACTGGCTGCATGGTGCGCAAGTGCTGCTTCGCTAACGCTGGCCAGTGCTCACACACTCACGGGCGAGCTGGAGGAGCAGGCAGCCATAGCCGAGCTGCGCTGCTGTATGCTGGATGGGGCGCATGGTGGTCCTTGGGTGTATATGGCATCTGTGAGTGGGGGATCGAGGTTGTGAGTGATAAGAGAGACATACCTGGTGCTTGAGGCGGACGGCATTGGCCGAGATCTGCTCATACTTCGGGGAGCTGTTGACGTCACCAGCGCCATTGTAGATAGGCTAGATAGGATCTACCATTCGTAGTCTGAGCGCAGAGCGCCCGATAGGCTGTCAACATTGGTTCTTTATTGATGATGATGAGACTACTCCAACATTGTCACTTATGAGCTTTTGCTGTGCTCTTATTTGGTGAAACTCGTGATGCAATTCTGCTTTTGGTTCGAGGTCACGACTATCTGGTCACATGTGTATGATGCTGCTTGGTTTCTGAGGTTCGCTATCGCTCATTTTCCTTGCACATACTACAAGAAGAGCGAAAAATTTTAACACCATAGATTCAAAAGCATTCAAACTTTCTTGTTTGAAATAATCGAAACACATCAAAATGGCGCTTGGCATCACCAACCACTGCCTGTTGCGAAAGGGGGTCACTGGGAAGAACCAACCCTTGGTCAACCCCCAACCATGTCTACGAGACGCAGTTGAAGGAGGTCGTGAATGTGAGTTGCACGTAGAATTAGGATCTGGACCCATTCAGTCAGTCACACATACGTTTGGAAAAGGCTTTTTGATGGCGGTTCCAGTTATACTCATGCATCTTCTGGCTTGGTTACCCGATCTCTCTTACAGCGTTTGTGCTCAACTGTCTCTCTCTCCTCTGCCTATCCCTGGACTGAAGTACAAGAGACTCACTTGTGTGTGCCACATGGCACTTTCCTACAGGTCTTCCTCTCCTTTGTTCCCCACCAACCACTCCACAAATGTACGAGATAACCTTTCACCATGCCGCCTAAGTTTATCTGGTTCCATCCGGTTTCGAACTCAAGTCTGCATTTCAACAGTTCATGGGTTTACCAACTGAGCTAAGCTCATTGGTCGCCACCTAAATTTGATCACTCAAGGAGACGAAACGAGGTAAGGAGGATAAAGTGAAGAATTGAGGAGGAGGAGGAGAAGGTGAAGAGGAGGGGGTGATAAGATGAACAGGAAGAGAAGTCCAAGAAGAGGAATAGGGGAAAGAGTATGAGACAGAGTGGAAAGGACTTGGAGACGCGTACAAGCGGGAGCAGAGGAGGAGGAGGCGGCGTAGGAAGAGGTGAGTTGGTGGAGGCGTGGGAAATCGCCAATGGACCGCTCCGGCAGTAAGCGCTCTGTGGTGGCTTCCGCGGCTATAGCGGTCATGACAATGCAGCACAAAGGAGGCTCCAGGGACGTTGACTGCGAAGTCACGAAAGCAGGGCCAGCTGTAACACAGCAGCATACCGAAATGCAGACTCCCTCCCCAACCCCTTTTGTTTCCAAATCTGAAGGGTTAATGGGACCGCGTTTGAGTGTAGCCCGGCAAAAAAAATTGTTGGATGCCAAGTGATTATTACGAAGGGGCATGGGATATTTAGAAAACCAGACCCGCAACCTTTTTTTTTTTTTGAGGGGCTGCTCTTCCCCTCTGCAGCACACGTTGTGCACTGCGAGAGTCCAGTGTGGTCCTGCGCCGTACGAACACACGCACGACGGGCGGTTGCATGTACGGATTGAACACTATCACCAGAGAGATTTCAGTTCATTTAAACCACCAGTACTTCCTAAAGTCGAGCCCGTTAACGAACCACAATTTCAGGAAACGTACGGACCACTACAGGAGCGCCCAAATTCATCCAAGTGGAAACGTTTCTAACTTTCTACTCTATTTTTTTCCATGGCCGATAGCTGGGCCAAGTACTGGTGGTTTAACTAACTTCAAGTCTTTAACACGAAAAAAAATACAAAAAATCAACAGAGAATCAACACGTAAAAGAAAGAGATTCAGCACCGCAAGATGATCATGGAGAGAGGAGATAGGGAGGTTGCACTCGTGTACAAAGCCAGAGCTTGCCAACTGCTGTTGCGTAGAACAATGACGTGAGAGGTATTTATCCGAGTACCGGAACAACGAGGTAAGCTCACCTTGTTGCATTGTCCTTTGCAATGACTGCTGTGACGACAGCTGCAATGATGTCCCCAAAAGATTTGGACGATTCAGGAAGGAAAGAAATGTACACACAGGTGACCAATATGGCCAGAAAGGACATGAAGAAGTCGGCAAACTGGCCACAAACAAGAACACAGCACACCACAATACGTGCAAGTTTTCAGGACCAGAGTTGCAATGCACTCTCATGTGTGTTGGGGGGGGGTTGGGGTTGGGGCGGGAGGGAGAGAAGAGGAAACCAGCCTACACCCAATGTGTCTGCATGTTTGTGTGGACTGTAAAATGGATGCTCGCATGCATCTCGTTTTTTAAAAAAAAAAGGGCGATGACCTTGAGATATCATCTTTGAATTTACCAACCCCATATAGAGAGTTATTTTCACTCATCAGATTCCATTGGAATTCGAGCTCAGATCTGCAACTCAAGAGTTCGCAGGTGTACCAACTGCGCTCGGCCAGTTGGTTGTTCGCATACATCTCTGATGCAAAAAGCACGAACTTTTAGCAGCAAGCCTGCAATTTAGCACAGCAGCTGTACAAAAAAAAAAAAAAAAAAAAAAAAAAAAAAAAAAAACCAGAACCTTATGGCTCTGGCTCCTTTTCCATTCTGGGGAGCATCAGTCCGGTTCCTATTCCCCCGGCAAGTCGGAAGAATTACAATGAGCACTCACACACGCTCCTCCCCCTTATGGTGGGGAGGTCCCAAGGACGGCATTGATTACTTCCGTTAGGAAGGATGTACCCCCCCTCACCCCTGCCTAAGTTAGCCTGTTATACTTCTATTCCTCGTTTGTTATTCTGCTACCCTCTTTGCTCTAATGTTTGAAGCTAGGCTACCAGAGTGGCCCGGGGTCACTTGCCTGGCCGGGCCAAAATAATTTAAAAAAATTAAAAAAAATAAAATATTTTTGAATTTTATTTGTTATTTTAAATTTGGTGAAGAATTTCGATGTGACCCTGAGGCAAAAGTTGTTCAGTTTATTTTTCTGC